AACTAGGCATCAGGGGACTTCAGTTCAGGTCCTGATTCTGCCGACATAAATGTGAATGTGGAAGTCCCCCGCCTCCACGATCCTCTGTTTCTTTGCATTTTTTGCCTAATCCATCAAGTTATTAAGGGGATCAACTGAGGAGCTAAATAATAATGCTCTTTGAAATCTGCAAAATACCATTTAGCAAGTGTTTGAATTTGACTGGATATATTCAGTACTTTATTGAAAAATCAATATTGTCACCTGACCTTGCTATTAAAGTTATCTTACACAAACTTACATATCTGTTTTTGGTAGTTAATCAAATTCTACCTCAAATATATTTTAAACTAGCATAGATAACTTGCATAGTGGCTATATTCCAAGTTTATTTTCTAATATATATAATAGAAGCTAATTAAAGCATTCATTAAAAAGAAATTGTGTCTCCAAAGTAGATAATTATTATGCAAAGCAATTAATATCTGTTAGACTCTTCTAATGAAGAGTCTCATTTTTAAATATTGGTTTCTCTTAAATCAATGGATAGATTTTGCAATTGAATCCAATCCACAGACTTGCTGAGCCCAGGCTATGTTTATGCAAGGTATTGTGCCAGGTGCTATAGAGAGTGACAAGATACAAGCAAAACTGCTTCTGTCCTCAATGAGCATAAGAGGACAAGATAGTGAGAAAGTTAAACAAATATAGATGAATCGATTTATGTGAACAGCTGGAGCATTCCTGTGCTTTTCCTGAGGGACTGGAGCCAGCCGCAGGACCCAAAACCAACACTGCACCTTCTTCCTTCCTTCTGGCAAGCACCTCCTACTGACAGGGAGGTCAATTTGCATGCCCTTTACAGCATTTACTGACTTAATTTTACAGGGTGTCCAAGGAGTGGCCAGTTGTGGAGTGCCTACCCCTCCCCACAGAAAAATTGTGCCACTGGTGGAAAAAACCCAGCGTGGGGCCTTAGCATACAAGTGTTTAGGCCCCTCCCCCACGAACAGCTTTCCCAGTTTGGAAAGCTTGTCCTGACCCTCCTACCAGCAGCTCCCTCTAGTGGCGGGAAATGCAACTTCTGAGTCCCACTGAGGCTTTGCAAAGCCTAGCTGTGAACTTCCTTGCTCCTGCCCCCTCCTCAATGATGGTGGAGATCAAGAAAGCACCTGGAGCTACAGGGTCACTCCTAAAGCTTGGCGTATTCATATGCCTCACCTGGGGGACCAGAGCTTATCATGGGCACAGCAGTTGGATATTCCATGAAAACATCAATCAATGACAAGAGAACAACACCATAAGCAAGCATAGTGCCTCCCAACTCAAGCAAACAAGGAGCAGCTAATTTGTACTCACAAGTACCACCCACCATCACCAAGAGTAAGCTAGGGGACCTAACTCACTATACACAGTTGGGAACAGGTGAAGACAGCATGTCAGAGGTAACCCAAGATTCAGCAAAAACAGAAGTGGAAGATTCATACCATAAATGCCTACTTCCAAATGACAGAAAAATCACAAATCAACAATATAATGAATTGGAAAAGGGAGAGCAAACCAATCCCAAACCCATCAGAAGAAAGGAGATAACTAACGTCAGAGCAGAACTAAGTGAAATTGAAAACAAAAGAATTATATAGAAAATTAATGAAACAAAAAGTTGGTTCTTTGGAAAGATGAATAAAATCGACAGACCTCTCACTGGATTAACCAGAAACGAAAAAGAAAGTACCACTATAAGATAATCAGAAATGAAAAAGAACATGTTATAACTAATACCACAGAAATACAAAATATCATCTCTGAATACTATAAAAATCTCTATACACATAAATCTGAAATCATTGAGGAAATAGACAAATTCTTGGGCACACAACCTTCCTAGGCTCAATCAGGAAGAAATGGAACTCCTGAACAAACCACTTTCAGGTAACAAAATTGAAGCACCAATAAAAAAATCTCCCAACAAAAAAAGTCCCAGACCAGATGATTTCACAGCTGAATTTTACCAGACCCAAAAGGAAGAACTGGCATGTATCTTGCAGAAATTATTTCATAACATAGAGAAGGAAGGAATCCTCCCTAACTCATTCTTTGAAGCCAATATCACCTTGATACCAAAGCCAGAAAAGGACATAACAAAAAAAGAAAACTACAGAGCAATATCCCTTATGAATATAGATGCACAAATTCTCAATAAAACCCTAGCAAACTGAATTCAGCAGCATATCAAAAAATAAATAAATAATTCCATGATCAAGTGGCCTTCATCTCAGAAATTCAGGGATGGCTCAAATTTATAAATGTGATTCAAATCTGTAAATGTGATTCACCACATAAATAGAACTCAATAGACACAGAAAAAGCATTTGATAAAATTCAGCATCCTTTTATGGTAAGAACTCTTAACTAAATAGGCATAGACAGAACATACCTCAATATTATAAAAGCCTTCTATGACAAAGCCACAGCCAACATCATATTAAATAGGGAAAAATTAAAAGTATTCCCACTTAGAACTGGAACCAGACAAGGATGCCCACTGACCCCACTTCTGTTCAACATAGTGCTGGAAGTCCTAGCCTGAGCAATCATGCAACAGAAGGAAATCAAGTGTATTCAAATGGGGAAAGAAGAAGGCAACTATCACTCTTTTTTAACAATATGATTTTATATCGAGAGAACCCCAAACTCTGCCTTGAGACTCCTGGAATTGATAAATAAATTCAGCAAATTCTCAGGTTACAAAATCAGTATCTAATCTATCTAGTATATGTATATCATGAAGTATTACTCAGGCATTAAAAAAGTGGTGAACCTTTTGTAACAACCTGGCTGGAACTGGAGACCATCCTCCTTAATGAAGTGTCACAAGAACGGAAAAACAAACACCACATGTACTCACTATTAAATTGGAAGCAAATGATCAACACTCATTTGTTACTCATATGGTAACAAAAGTCAACAGAAATCAAGCAGGAGGGGAGAGGAGGAGATAGGTAAATTCACACCTAAGAGGTAAAATGTACACTATCTGGGTGATGGATACACTTATAATTTTGACTCAAACTATACAAAAGTAATTTATGTAACCAAAATGTTTGTACACCTGTAATATTCTACAATAAAAAAGACAAAGAAATATTTAATATAAAAAGAATAACCATGGAAACACTAACTCCCCACCCCAAGCTACCTAGCTATACTAATAGCATATGAAGTGAACTTAAGGGCAAGAAACATTATTAGAGGTAATGAGAGCAGTTCATAATTACAAATAGGTCAATCCAATAGGAAAATATTACAATCCTAAATACATATTATATCTTCAAAATCAATTAAACAGACTGGATAGAATGACAAGAAAAAATGTATAAATCAGCAATCACATGAGAGGCATATCTCTCTCAAATAGCTGGCAGAACAAGTGAAAAAAATAAAATATCAGTAAGGATACAGAAGATATAAACAGCAAATTAGCATACCTGATCTAATGCCATGTATGTAAAACTGCACTACTAATGAACGTTTTGACTTCTAGTATACAAGGAACATTTATTAAAACCAATACATTGTAATATTAAAAATGCCTCAACAAGGGCGGGCGCGGTGGCTCACGCCTGTAATCCTAGCTCTCTGGGAGGCCCGAGGCGGGTGGATTGCTCGAGCTCAGGAGTTCGAAACCAGCCTGAGCAAGAGCGAGACCCCGTCTCTACTATAAATAGAAAGAAATTAATTGGCCAACTAATATATACAAAAAATTAGCCGGGCATGGTGGCGAATGCCTGTAGTCCCAGCTACTTGGGAGGCTGAGGCAGGAGGATTGCTTGAGCCAGGAGTTTGAGGTTGCTGTGAGCTAGGCTGACGCCAAGGCACTCACTCTAGCCAGGGCAACAAAGCGAGACTCTGTCTCAAAATAAATAAATAAATAAAAATGCCTCAACAATTTCAAAATATTGAAATCTTTCAGAATATTTTTTACCACTATGGAATTAAGCTAAAGATTAATAGCAAGAATAGAAAAAAAAAACTTAAAATGGTGCTTAGAAGGAAATATATAGCCTTTAATTCATGTATTAGAAAAAAAAGGCTAAAAATCAATGTTTCAGTGTTGATTTTAAGTAGAGAACAATAATGAAACATATGAAAACAAAGGATAAAGATAAAAGCAAAAATCAAGGAAATCAAAACCAAACATATAGGCCGGGCGCGGTGGCTCACGCCTGTAATCCTAGCTCTCTGGGAGGCCGAGGCGGGCGGATTGCTCAAGGTCAGGAGTTCAAAACCAGCCTGAGCAAGAGCGAGACCCCGTCTCTACTATAAATAGAAAGAAACAATTGGCCAACTGATATATATATATATAAAAATTAGCCGGCATGTGGGCGCATGCCTGTAGTCCCAGCTACTCGGAGGCTGAGACAGAAGGATCGCTCCAGCCAGGAGTTTGAGGTTGCTGTGAGCTAGGCTGACGCCACGGCACTCACTCTAGCCTGGGCAACAAAGCAAGACTCTGTCTCAAAAAAAAAAAAAAAAAAAAAAAAAAAAACCAAACATATAACAGAGAAAATCAGCAAAGTCAAAGTTAGTTGTTTGAGAAGATTAACAAAATTAATAAAACTAAACAAGACTGATAAAAAGTAGAGAAAACAAATTTGCAACAACAGCAATGAAAAAGTTGAATGGCACAAACACAAAAAAAGATAATAAAAGGATCCTAAAAACAATTGTATGCTGAAAATTTTGATAATTTGGATGAAATAGACAAACTTTGAAAAGTACAATTTGTCAAAGCTGACAGAAGACAAGATAGAAAATATCAATATTATTAAAAAATTTAAAATACATATTAAAAAATTGAGCCCTTTATTTTAAAGAAGAAAACCTCTGGCCCAGATAGCTTACCAATGATTTTTCCAAACATTTAAGGAAAAATTAACACCTGTCTTGTATAATTCTTCAGGAATATAGAAACAGGAGAGCTGCCCAGACTTTAAAAAAAACAATTATAACTGACTTACTTCCCGGGACTGGCTTTTCTCTCCAGATGGTTCCTCAGCTTTCTGATAATGTCTTTCTGATATGAGTTCTATGGTCTTTGTCCATTTGCTCTCCTGTGCATGGTCACAATTCTACCATATTTATGATGCTGTTCTGCCTTTGCAGACTGTTATTGTTCTGATAAAGGAAGAGGGGAGAGATTGTCTTTAATACAAAGGAGAATTTTCTGATTAGGGCAGAATCAGGGTGCAGTTGTATTTCTTTTGTATTAAGACTTCACTGATTAACTGCTTGGTGCCTTTTGTCCAGGCATGATAGTATCATATTCAGCCAATCTGAGTATGTGGTCTTATTGGCAGACATCTCTCTCTTGTGTTGCTGGTTAGACCATGTACAATAGCTTGATACCACTAAACATTAAACTCATCAAGCAAACTACTCTTCTTTATTATTTCACACTCACCAAACATATTTATGATTATAAACTTGGCTTCCCAAAGTTTTCTTACAGCCAGAGAATACAACCAGGCCAACATCAAATTCTTTTTTTTTAAATTTATTTATTTCAGGATATTATGGGAATACAAACATTTTGGTTACATGTTAATGACTTTGCCACATCCAAACAATGATTTGAGGCATGTCCTTTCTCCCCTACAATCCTCACCATGTCCGTTAGTTGTGAGTTTACCCATCCCCAACCTCTCAATCCCTAAACAATATTACTACCGTGTGGGCACCTTAGTGTTAATCAGTTAGTGCCAATTTGATGGCGAGTACATGTGGACCCTATTCTTCCATTCTTGTGATACCTCACTTCAGAGGATGGGCTCAATCTCTATCCAGGAAAATTTAATAGGTGCCAGATCACTGTTGTTTTTTATAATTGAGTAGTATTCCATTATATACATATATCATTTTTATTAATCCACTCATGGATTGACAGGCACTTGGGTTGTTTCCACATCCTTACAATAGTGAATTGTGCTGCCATAAACATTTGGGTGCAGGTGTCTTTATTATAGAATGTCTTTTATTCCTTTGGGTAGATGCCTAATAGTGCTATTGCTGGATCAAATGGTATTTCTATTTTTAGCTCTTTGAGCTATTTCCAAATTCTTTTTCACAGAGGTTGCACTAATTTGCAGTCCCACCACCAGCATAAGAGTGTTCCTATCTCTCCACATCCTTGCCAGCATTTGTTGTTTTGGGATTTTTTTGATAAAGGCCAATCTCACTGGGGTTAGGTGATATCTCATTGTGGTTTTCATTTGCATCAACATCAAGTTCTGATTCACTTGATTTTTGCTATAAATTGATAGGTAGATATTCTTTTGGTTTATATTTTAAGTCATTCTCCACATATCAAATTAACTCTGAGACACCCAAAATATCAAGTTTCTGCACCTGCCAACTTGGGCTCATGTTAACGTTATCCAGTTGGCCCTCTCTGTAGAGCTCACATCCAGCTTCCCCCAGGCACACCCTACAAACAAACATTTTAATGCTCATTGGGTCAATGCGTATTCTCTTTCTAAAAATACAGCCAAGGATATTATAGAAATTGGCTCAGATGCACACACAACTATACAGCCAAGGAGCCAAGGTTCTCAGTGCTTTCCCAACAAAGGGAATTTTGAAAAGAGGAATTTAGATGTACAATAGTTTTAATAAATACCGAGTGAATGGAAAATTCTACTTTGGCACAAATGTGGATAACTGCCACGATAAGCATGTTTTCCATCATCCTGCTGTTTCTATGAAGTAGGAAATGTCAGTGAGCAGACTCATCCTCCAGCAACGTGTTCAGATTTGCACCTGACCTCTTCTACACAATAGCTGCCAAGGAAACCTATGTTGGTTTCCGACCATGTATTTTTATTACAATGCAAGAAGCAAATAGCAGCATGTCAAAACTGTTCTCTGGAGAGAGTGATTATTATTATTATTATTATTTGCTTTCTTTGGCTTTCCCTATCGTTCAAAACCCGTTTGGGCACTCTCCAGTGTGTTTTGAGAGTGCTGACCATCACTTCTGACTAAAGGTCTCCACTGTGGTCGTCCCCAGAAAACGCCACCTTTGAGTCTCCTGGGGCTTTGAGAAGCCCAGGCACGCAGACCAGTGGGCTCATCCAGTCTGCAGCAGCCGACAGAGACTACCACCGAGAGCAAGGCAGAGCTGGGCCAAATGAGGACCTGCTGTACTCTGGCACAGCCTGGCTCGAGGGAGCCACATAATTAGTACAAACATCATTGTGGTGAGACACCTCTCCAGCTCTATTTATTTTGTACATAAACCTAGCCATTACATTCAGCAAACATTTGTTAAACATCTGTGCTGTGTCAGACCATGTCCAAGGCACAAGGGCAATAAGGCAATACTCCCTTACATCAAAGCCCTTTTCACATGTCTCATCTCAGTCGACCTTGGGAAATTAAACAGGGTATATAATTGGTACTGCATTTCCATTTCACAAATGGGGAAGCGGAGAATCTGAAAGGTTGAGTCACTTACCTAAGGTCACACAGTTAATAAATAGACATTCTGGGACCAAAACCCAGGGATTTGATTTTTAATTCAATGCTCTATTTACTACATTGCACTTTTATTATTATTATTATTACACATTGTCATTTAGCATTTAATTAGAGGGTGTTTCAGATCCTTGGTATGTGCTCAGAGAAAGATAGTGCTTTCCTTGCTTATAATTCTGTGTTGTTAATACCATGGATAAGATGAGCCATAGGGTTCACGTTATCATTGCTTAAATCTGAGAGACAAGTTTCATCTCTGACCATTTAACAGTTTCCCCCAGATTCTATTTTTATTTTGCATACAATTCACTTTGTTGTATCAGATACTTTATCAACAAAATGAGCAAGATCTAAAGTTCTTTATGTATTTGGAATTTTTGAAGTCCAAAGTACATATTTTCTGTTGCACATTTTCTGTACATATTTTGGCTCTCGATTCTATCCAATTTGGAATTGAATTCTATGCTGTCATATCTTATAGTTACTTCTAATAACACTACAAATTCCTAGAGGAGAGCAACCATATCATGGCTCTGGGAGTGTGGCCAGGACTAACAATTTTTGCTGAATGGAATTTAAATGATGGCTGACCCGGCTACTCCCTAAATGGGAAGCATTAGAGTTAAATTGTTAAGTATGAAATTAGACCAAGACAGACTTCAGTGAGAGATCTAGTTCCACCGCTAATTTTGGGCACGTTATAAAAACCAACTAAGCCCCATGGTCCTCATTAGCAAATGAGGATGTTAATGGCCATCTCTTAGGCTCTTTGTAGGAATTAAATGAGAAGACTGTTATATGGTCTTAACACCATATGAACTACCAGGACACAATAACTGGTAGTTCTTATTATCAAGACCACTTTCTTGGATCTTTCCAGAGGTTCTTCTCTTATAATAACGTGATGTTTCTTTTCACTATCACAAACTGAAAGGTCAAATTACCAGAGCAAATTACCCATAAAGTATCCACCATAGAGGGCCATGTATTTGCTCAAAATAATTGAATAAGTATTTGCAATAGTGCTGGCTGCATAGTGGAAACAGTTTATTCTTTTCTTTCTTAGTTTTATTTTCTTTTGTGTTAATGTTTGTGGGTGAGTAATGGTTCCTTCAAACTAGATATTATTTTGAACAATTAAATTCATCTTTATACAGCAATGATAAATTAATTACTCCTACAGGAAATCGAATTTTTTAAAGGACATAAAACAGGAATCTGAATGCTTCATATAGTTCTTTAAACTGGGTTGGTTAAATATTATCTGTATTTATCAGAGAGATAAAATGAGCCCCAGTTTTAAGGGATATAATAGCATTTAGGAATTCAATTCCTAAATTGAATTGATGATCTCTTCAGGCTAATAATGAGCAAAATGAAAGCAGTGGTCCCCAACCTTTTTGGCACCAGGGATCGTTCTCATGGAAGACAATTTTTCCATGAACTGGGGTTGGGGAGGTGGTGGTTTTGGGATGATTCAAGCACGTTACATTTATTGTGCACTTTATTTGTATTATTATTACATGGTTAATGTATAATGAAATAATTATACAACTCACCATGGATTGGGGACCCCAAATTAGAGCATGTATCACATACGATCACAATGCTAGGTGTATGGTTTTAACACACTGAGTTTTTTAAAGCAAATTTAAATTTAAAGCAAATTTTTATCTGCTTATTTCATTGCTAAGGATGAGGATTTAAAAAAAAGATATGCTTGTTTCTCTCATTACATAATTATGGCAAAGAAAAAAAATCATCCTTTTGCAAACCTCTCAGGTTTCTCACTGCAATGGAATTAGCCTTTGAGCAGAAACTGTAATTTACCAGTGAGATTATGAATGGCATTCTCTGATTCTTTATCTTTTTCCTATACCTTGCAATTTTTCTACAATAAGCATATATAGTACTAATTCAGAGAAAAAAGTTTTTAGTTTTTATTTTTATTTTTGTTTCTCATTGAAAAACAAAAGGTGGCATGGGTAGGGGACCATGTCACCTTCATCAAGACTGGCCTAAGAATGTGCCTTGGGAGAGAAAGATTCATGGCTGTTGAGAGTTGATCCCAACCAAGAATGTTGAGCCCCAAACCTGGCAATGTGGACAACCGGCCAATAAGAAATATATAAGTGCCTACTAGGTGCCTCATTTCAGTCAGGCTTGTGTGGCTATCCTAGCATGTATGTATATTGCTGTAATGATCAGAGTAAAGAATAGTGCCTGGCACACAGTAGATGCTTAGTCAATATTTGTCAAATAAATGACAAGATGGGAATTATTATACAAAACAGGGGAAGTCAGAGTCACTTCCTACCTGAGAAGCCAGAAGAAGTTTTGCTCTCTGAAACTACAGTAGCTGATAATGAAGTAGGAATCATAATTAAGCAGAAACATTGATGCACATGATGCACATTAAATAATTATAAGTTTTCATGGTACTTTTTCTTATCACAAAAGCATTGTAGAATAATAGAATATACTAATAAGGAAAGAGAAGAAATATGTTAAAACCATTGTTTATGACGTAGGTATATCCTTTCACATGATCTTCTACACGTACCATGTAATTCACATGCATATTTTTTTCTTTTACAAAAATTGGAATCATACCATTTTGTAATTTTTTGCTATGTCAACAG